ATCTATATATCTGAACAGGTGGTGTCATCTTAAATTTTGCAATTTATGATGTAAACAATATCATTTAAATTTTGCTTCCTAACCACAAAATTTTGACTGATATCAAATACAATTTAGTCTTCATGCATGTCAATCCAGAGAGTAAATGATTAATTCTGATCAGTATCCATCCATTAACACCCACACTAGTCACTACTCGACAGAGATAATGCCTATATACCAGATACCTACGAATATCCATTTCCAATATTGGCTGGAGACACGCCCAAATGGATACATTCAAGTCATTCAAAGAGCAGATGAAAATAACACGGGATATGTAATTTTCTGTTGCGTTATTGACTTTGCCCTGCTTTCCATTTCCAACCCAATTTCAAGTTTCGACAAAAACATTTGGGACATAATCTTCAGAGCTGTGATGATTCTATATTAAGCAGCTCCATGAAAATTTAAGAGCAGCAAATGTCATTCTATTTCTTTGAACAGAAAGGGGAAGGTGCAGAATATAGGAACAGAAAAGTTGCCGGCTGCCAAGCACCGTTACGTTCCATAAACAATAAGGGATTAGACATAATTCAAGCAGCAAGTTCATTGAGAGTTGACATAAGGGACATGCTAGAAATAAGTTAAAATTTTCCTAAATGGATTTGATCATGATGAAACACACTCCCTATTTGGAGAAATTATTCACAAATAATTAGGAACATAAATTATCTTCGTTACAATATCCAGACAAGGAAGACGGTAAGAATGCACAGAGGAATAAGTGAGTATTTTCAATTCCCAAAAACTGACTGGACATGATGAACAATCAAAAGCAAAAGCATTCTTACACTTGCAAGAACCAGAGAAAGAACCAATCATTTCGTGGGAACTACCAGTTCTCCTTGATTATTTTTGATTTCTCTAGTATGAATTTCCCTTCCTTGTACTTTTGCGTTTCCTCATAAGCTCGTTCATACTTCCATCCCAACACCTCTTGGCAGTCACAGCAATAGACATCAGCAACAGTATGCAGACCGGTCATGAGTTGCCGATCCTCCTTAGGCCCCACCATGATGTTCATTGCATGTGAGAACAGAAATGCTCTACCATTTCTTCCCTAAAATTAAAATCATAAAGGATATTTTGGGAAATAGATATAACCAAAACTTCCAGAAGTATCCCATCATCTAATATAACAGTGTAGAAACTGAAATAAAACCAAATGTAAAAATGTGTAACATGGCCACTTCACTATTTTGATGGAGATTACTAGTATTTCTTCGACCAGTTGTGATCCAAAATAACAGAAAGCACATAGTTGAAAGATTTTCATTATCTCTTCCATAGGATTCCCATCAAAGCCAACAAGGGCTTAATATCAACCATGAAAAGTTTCTACCTTTCAACTCAAATTCTCATGTTTAGACTCTGATGGAGATCATCTTTACTCTATTTAAAAAAAAAAAAAAAAAAGTGAATGCAACATAATTAGCAGTAAGTTCTTTACCTGAAAAGATTTTGAAATGACATCATCATGAAGGGCAACTTGGTTTCTGCAATTGCAGCAACTGTACAACCGTGGCCCAACAACTTCTGCCATTTGGCAATTATTATCAACACAGAATTTCTTGTTGCTCCTTTGAAAACAATTATCTATTTGAAAATCACAAACATGAACAAAAAAAAAACTGATTAACGTACTTAAAGTCAACATCAATAAGAAGCACACAGAGAGGTAAAGTAAGAAGCAGCTTACATTTTATATACCTACTAGCTGTACAAAACCATACAATGTTCGTTGTCTATTATTAACCTTTACCAGACAAGATACCTGCATCCAGAGCCAAAACATGTTAGTTAAAACTCTTGAAGCATAAACGCTAAATATTATGTCAGTAAGCATGTAATGCATTTTGTTAAGACCAACGGAAGGCATTCATGTTGTAATGGAAATGATCAAGAAAGAGGCTGATTGAACTCAGTTTTGGAATCCATTCTAAGGTTTCAAATAAAGAAAACAAGAGAAAAAGTAAGATACCCGATTGAACAATAACACGAGGAGGTTAGAGAAATAAATAGAGCAGAAAAAACCCAGTAACTAAACCAACTTTGGAAGAGAATCACATAAAGAACAAAATGAACAAGAATTCCGAACACCCAATATTAGAATAGCAGCCAAAATAAGCAGGGCTCTGCCATAGACAAGCAAAGAATGCTGAGTCAATGGACTATTCAACATATACAGATCAAACAAGAGCATGCCAGAAACAACTGAAAATCTATAAACACGGCAATTAGAACAACCTTAATCAAAACCAAATGGCGATCAAAACTAACAAGAATCTAAGACACACACACAATATCATAATAATCTTTAGGGCAACAAATTGTGAACCGTACAAATCAATAAAGACAAGAGCAGGTGCAAAAAACAAGTAAAAATCTAGAAACCCAACAATGGAAACAACCAAATGATCGAAATTAACCAGAACTTTGAACACCCGGCATCAGAATGAAGCTCCAGCAAAGGAAAAACCCAAACTTTTTCCGACAATTAATTGTGTAATGCACTGATCGATTGGGCAGATCAATGAAAAGCAGAAAAGTACCACGAAAAATGAAAAACCCGTGTAAACAGCTGTTTAAGTCTTCCACCCTGATCAGTCTTTCATGGTGTGCGTGGATGGTTCCGAATGAGAGAGAACTTTGGTTTTTTTTCCCCTGTATTGTGGAGTCTGAGTTGGGACGGAGTTTAGTGGGGATTACAAAGATGACAAGTTGTTTCACCCAAAAAAAAATAAAATAAAATGACAAGTTTAATTGGAGCTTTCTATTAAAATATTGACATTGGATAGGTAATGAAACTACAAAGCTACCACTCGTGTTGGGTTTAGATGAAGAAATTAACTATAAACACGATAAAGGAAAACTTTGGAGAAAATCGAAATTTGAACATCTTAATGGAGTGATTTAATTGCTAAAAATTTAAAATTAAATATTTTAAATTCGGATCTTATATCAGATAAAAAGATATTTGATAATATCATATGTATTTAAAAAAATAAAAATTTGAACACTCATATTTTGTGTTTATTAAATACTTAAAAATAATAGTTTAAAAAGGTTGTTTAGTCAATAATAAATATTGTTTTTTTTTTCAATATAAATATTATTTTTTGATTTTAAATTTATTTTAAATTAATTGTTTTTTTTTTTAATAAAAGACCGTTTGTTCTATTTTTTTTAATATTGAGATCACTTGTGAGGATTGAAGTTTTATAACATATATGTATGTTTTTGGGAAATGGCAAGTTCTTTGATTCAAAATTCCCCAAAATGGGTATATTTATAATTAATATGTTGCTTGGACTATATGCACTAGATGCTATGTGAACTACTAGTTAATAAAAATACCAAATTCTCAATATTTATACATGTCATAACTAGCTTTTGCAGTCCTAGGGTGCCCTGACATTAAAGTTCAGGATGGATAACCCTGTTCTCCGCCAAGGTTGGAGTCGCCATAACCACAATTGTAACAATTTCTCTTTCTCAGATATATTCTATGTTAACTAATAGAAGTAAACATCTAAATTTTTAACCACTGGACTTAGGATAGAGATCTCATGGGCATTTATAATTTTGTCCCTTTTTCTTTATTATAATACTTGTGATTTTACGAAGATATATGTATTTTATATAACTGTACGTTAACTTGTATTTTATGTACATTAAAAAACACAAAAGGCTAGCTCTTTTTTTTTTTTTTTTTGAAAATAGGTAATGAACTTGGATAATTGGGCTTAGTAATTTCAAATCACGTTTAAAGCAAATTTCTTCCTTCTCTAAACAACGTTTTGAATTTATAACCTTACAAATTTATTAAAAAAAAACACACAAAAGGCTAAATTATGTCAACCTGTCACCAGAAACGTATTTAAAAAAAAAAGGAGGGCCGTACCTAAGTTAATGATGAAAATGGGTCAGTGTCTCAAACTTTTAAATAACATGATTCCATTTCATTTGGAAGTAAAATGAATGAATGGGGATTTTTTAATTTTTAAGGAAACAAATAAAAGTCATTGATTAAATTATTAGTAAATAATTATTTTTTATTTCATATAATTAATTTTTTTATAGAATTTCGACTCATTTACATGTCCTTGAAAAAAAAAAAAAGGGAAACAAATGACGAAAAATGAGAGTGACCTACAAGCGAACATGCAACATGGTGTTGATCAATCTCAAATCACAAGATGATTTTTTTTTTTTGGATCATGGGTTCAAAGGACAGGATGATTGAGGTTGATATTTTGATATTTATTTAAAGTAGTTGAGTTGGGCTTTGCTGGTGGTGGTGGACACAAATGGGTAATGGATTTAAAGAGGTTTGTAGTTTGTACCGGAAAATCAAAACAAAATAAGTAGTCGGCCCACATTACATGATTTCCGCTAGCATGCTTCAGATCAGACCAAGGAGTGCCCCGTCTCTCTCTGTCTTTTTTTTTTTCCGTGGGTCTCGATGCTATGGAAAAATGAAGCTTGTCATAAAAACGGACTCCACAGTTTCCTTCTTCTTTTTTTATTTTTTTGGTTAAATACTTTTTTTAAGTCCCTCTACTATAGAAAAAAGCTTTTTTTTTTATCCCTGTACCAAAAAAACCTTTTTTTGATTTTTACTGTTCACAAATCCGACCTCTTTTTGGTCATTTCGTTAATTTTTGCTCATGTGGCATGTTAACTTAACTGGAACAGCTGATGTGGGTATGTCAACGTGTAAAATATGCTTACATGGACTTATAACACCCTCCACGTCACCCTCTAGGTCACCTTCCCCCTGCGTGAAAAAGGAAAAAAAAGTTAAATGTTAAATTTAGTCCCTCAACTTTATAGGTTTACATTTTTTTGGTCTTAAATTATGTTTTTCATTTTTTTATTAATTATAGGTTTTATTTATCTATATAATATAATAATAAATTATGTGACTTTATAGGTTTTTATTTAAATTATAATTATGCTAAAA